TCTGGACTTATGAATGTTTTAAACTTCTTTTTTTTTTCTTCTTCATCCCAACTAAGAATAAAGAGTTGAACTAACCATATTCTTTATTAAATGGAAAATGCTAAAATCTTTGATACAGAGATGTCAAACCATCTCATTTTTACACACTTGATTTAGAAAGAGTTGTCAGCACTCCTGACCTGAGATGATTTGCTTTAGTTTGTGAGCAACACTGACGTATTTTATCTGGCAATCAGTTTGCCTGTATCTCTGCTTGTCAGTGCAGCCTCCCAGGATTTAGAGTTCCTGTATTTTGTGCTCTTTTCTTCTCTGTGATACAGATTAACTAGCTGAACAAAGCCCCCTGGTTCACTGAGTTGGGCAGCTCCCAGGTGGCATTATAATGATTCAATTAAAGAAAGATGTTGCTGTGATTGTTGGCATGTGTAGTCCTGGCAAAGAGCAGCTCACATGGGAAGGGAGAGAGTCAGAGGCTTCTAAAGTGTAAATCTGATGGGGCAGTTTAGCCATTCATGTAAATGTACAGATCTTTTGCCTCAATGAACCACATCAAAATACTTTCTTACAAATTGTCTGCATCGTGCAATTACAGGCTTTTTAGCTGATGGAGGTCTCAACAGAAAATTTGTAGTATAATTGGCAGCATGAGACAGAGCATTTGTCATACAGTGGAGTTTCAAGAGAGGAGTGCTATTGAAAGAATGAGCAGTTACAGGTAATTCATTTTCAGTATAATGCTAACAAAATGAGACTATATTCTGTGTAGTTAATAAGTGTTGGAAAATGGAAAAAAATTGCCATTACCTTGAAAACAAGCAGGGCAACTTGTTGCTTCATGTGAGTCTCTGTATGGGGGTTGGGTAACAAAGGCCTCCTGCAACTGCTGGCCAACCACACTGGTGAACTTGGACTTGGTAATGTGTTTGACTAGGGAGGGGAAAAATTGCCTAGGGAAACTTGGTGCATAGTGTAAGAAATTATTACATATTGTAACTTGGTGTACTTTGTTAACAAGTTTGGATGAGGTTTGTAGTTACTTCCACTGCATTATTATACCCCTGCCTTTGGGTAAAATGATGAAATATTTTAGCAAAATTACCAAAGCTGTAGTGTGGGTGGACCCCAGTATACTCAACAGCAATTCCCTGTTCTGAGGTACCATAACTGAGTACAAAATTGTGGCTAGTTTCATTCAAGTATTCCTTGATACAGATTTAATTCCCTGTCATTGAAATTTGTTTTAGTAATTGAAACTGAATTGAGATACCTGTAAATGTGTAGGTAGGTCAAGGCTTCAAGCATTAAAATGCATGTCTTGAACTTTAGTTAGTTCCAGACCATTGCTTTCCTTTTTTTAGTCTTGGAATCCTTGTATCTAGTGACCATCTTTATGTGGAGTTGATTTAGCCTTGCTTTTAAGGGCAGAAAAGACTCTTGTACTGCACTGACAAACTTTCTGAGCTTTTGACTTTTGTCATCTTTGAGTTAATTAAAAACCCTACTTCTTAAGAATCATTGATGCTGAATTATGGTGCAAGGGGATAATTTTTGCAAGATGTGTGGATGATTAGCAATGAAATTCATATTTAGATTTAGAAATGGAAAGATCAGGGTCTTCCCAAACCACATGGAGTGAAATCTAAGTAACCATAAAAATTCTGCTTCTAGGAGTTGTATTCTTTCCATGTAGCTGTAAGTAGCTAAAGGATACTAGTCCTGGTTTCTTGTCAAGACTTCCACGGTCAGTAATTGAGAAAGATACCTTTAGATAGTAACTGATGATTAAAGATAGAAGGGGTTAATTTTACCTTATATGGCAGAAACCTCTTATGGTCGTATCAAAGAAGAGAAGCCTACTCATAAGCCTAGTCCTTCAGTGGACTTCTAGCAATACACAGTATTGAGAGCCATCACCTTCACTTCCCATTTGATAATGTTTAGTCTTTCTTCTCCAAGGCCAGATGCTCTGTGGGCTTGTTAGTTCTCTATGGGTTCTGCCCCTGAGGTAAGTTATGCTTGTCTCCATGCCTAGTTCCCCGTGTGTTTGGAGCAGAGTCGGTGGTCATTATTCAATGGCTCCTGTGTCCTGTAACCTTTCTATTACAGGATATTGCTATCTTCCTTTTTGCTTCATGTAAGGTGCATTGTCACTGTTGTCAGAGTCAGTCTTTGAAACAGATTTCAGAGAGTCCTTATGTGTCAGGCTGAAGACTGCAAATTATCTTTCACCTGGAGATGAGTGAAATTTTAAATATTAATACTATAAGCTTGGTCTGAGGTGCCTATGCATCAGAAGATTAGTGAGTTTTTGTCCCAGTTAGAATTGTCTCACTGGTAAACAAACGGCACATTTTTTATGGTATATGTCTATTTAGAAATGCTCCTGTAGAATCTGTGCTTCACTGTGAACTTCCTTCTAGCTACCCCTTTCCCTGTTAATTGTGCATAATGATAACTGAGAATCTAACAGATATGCTTCTACAACTTCCTTTTCTCAAGCACACTGAGCTTCATTGGAAGAGTGATCAGGAGACAGCTTTTTGTGTATTTGTTTTCTCTGAGTTCTTTGAGAAGGTTTAGGGCTAAAAAATATCCCATTGGATATTGGCATGACCCAAGACAGTCAGGTTTAGGTAAATAAGCCCATAAAAACAGAACTGTGAAAGCCTAATTCTGAGGTGAACTGGAGGAGTTTATGTTTCACGTTTGAGCATCGGGTCAGGTGACTCAGAAGCAAACAGTGATACATCAGCAAGGAAAATTATTATATTGAGCAGCAGTTTGTGTTCCCCAGATTAGAATTCTTGAGCAAAATTAGATTAAGATTTTCTTTTGTTATTCTAATCAAACTGTTCTGCTCTTTCCATTGTCTTAGGTCATTGTTGATGAATGATAGACAAGTGCCTTGAGTGCTGCTTCCCAAATATAGTTGCGATGTTTTTCAGTGGACAAGATTATACGTTTGCTGAATTTAAATCAGCTAAAACAGAAATAGGGACTACATGTATTGAAAGTTAAGCTGTACACCTGCATATGTTGAGTTAGATGGTTTTGAATCTTTAATTGATGTGTTTGATTGTTGGTTTTTTTTTTTAATTTGCCCTTCATTTCATTGAGTTCTTACATTTAAGATAACCACAAAACACACCTTTTGGATTTGTGCTCAAAAAGGGACAAGACAAAGAAGGATTTTGTAGCTTAGCAGATGACATACAGAATCCCAGGGCAATGGTATCTTATCAGGAGTCTTCTGTTGTGTTTTGTATGTTGTATCGGAACATCCCCTCTCGTTTATGCAGTAATCTTTGCACACGGAACTAACCAGGCAGTTCACAATGAAGCTGTCTGGAGTGGGAGCTGCCTTTTGCACAGGTGTTTGCACCTGGCATGGAACAATAATCTGAGCTAAATGGCCAAGGGAAGGTGTGTTTTGAAGTGCAGACATCCTAGACCTTGCTTTGCTAGTCAAAGCCAGAGAACTTCCTCAAAGATACAGCTCCGATAAGAGTAATGTTTTATACAGCTTAGATTAAATCTTGTTCATGAAGCAAGTTTAGGAAAGCATATGTGCATGTCAGTTAACAATATATTCCATATACCCTTGAAGGACTGATTACTGACAATGCTAGGAATGCTAGGTATTAAACGTTTGCACTCTTGTGTGATCCTGAGAAAGAAGTAACTGCATATCATTACCTGCAATGTCATGTTCCAGGACTGTGTCCTACCTTTCTGGTAGTCCTTATTATAATGCAAAAATACCGTTATCACATTGCCTTATGTATGAATTGCCTTCCAAATTTTGTTCCAGTGTAACACACATTATTATGCACTCTGCAGTTCTAGCAGTATTTCATAAGCTTACATTGCATGCATGGAATTTATCATTAAATTTACTTCTGTTTATTTTCATAGAAGACCATGCATCTATGGTTATAATTTACTTCCTTGTTTAAAGCAAAGATATTCACCTAAATTTGAGTGACTTCTTATTCATTTAAGGGCTCAGTAAGACAGTTTACCAACTGAATTTAGAAGGGGTTGGAACAAGCCTCCCTTTATTGTATGGATAACAAATGTAGGGGCAGATTCCATTTCATAGCATTTTGTCTACTTGACAATTTCTTCAGAATAATATTAATGGCCTTTTCTATTTAAATTATTGAATTCCGTATCAGATGAAACTCATTACAATGAATGGTGGTGTTTTGGGTTTTTTTTTGGACATTTGTACATTCCCTAATTCTGAGCAATAGACTCGGTCTTCCATATCCTGTTAACAATATCTACATCTTGTGTGTACTTTGTATTTTGGACTATGCCACTGGATTTTTGTTCCTGGGGTTGTTAATGTGTGATCCATAAGTGTATGCAGCATTCAAACCTCCAGATACTCTCTGTATAAACCTGTTTTTCATGAGCAGTCGAACTAATTGATCTTGGTTTCACATTTTTATACCCACTCTGTTACCTACAAATATCTTACACTTCTGGCTCTGCTGTCTCCAGGGATGAAAAATTGCTTCATGTATTTTTTTTCCTCTTCTCAAAAGAAATAAAACTAATGTTTGGTCTGAACTTAAAAGCTCTATTTTTATTTTGAACAGACTTTTTGAGAACTGTATCAGTCCCCTAGAAGGATGCATGAGTCTATTTTGCTTTTATATGTGGTACAATACCAGTAAGACAATCAAAACACATTCTATATCCAGCAGTGTTTTTTAACTACTTCTTTTAATTACTTTAACTAAATCTCTCTGTTCTCATTTGGTATTTCTTTTTCAAGAGACTTTGAGTACATACAACTTTTTACTGTTGTCCAAGAATAAATTACTTGCAGGTTTTTTAGCCTGTTCAATAAAAATATAAAATATTAACTATAAGTTTAAAAAAAAAAAATACTTGTCATTCTGAGAGACTGATCTAGGATTTCTTGGAGAATTTATTTTAGGAAATAATTCTGGATTTCTTTATTCTTTCTCTCTTTTACCTATGTTCAGATGGAAGACGTCATAGCCCGCATGCAAGATGAGAAAAATGGGATTCCTATTCGTACAGTCAAAAGTTTTCTTTCCAAGATTCCCAGTGTCTTTTCTGGTAAGAGTAAAAGCATATTTCATGTATTTAAGTTTCCACACTACCTTATGTAAGGGAATGCTCAAATGGAAAATCCTTTTAACTGAGTGTTATGGGGAATTCACAGTCATCTGTTCTGGAGGAGACATTGCTGGAAAGCTTTAATTATAGGAATTTTTGATGTTTCTCGTACATTGGAATGGGCTTACACAGGGATGGTTTTGTCCTATAAATGAAGGGAATACTTAATTTACTACCAAAAGTAAGTTATCTGAAGATGGCAATATTTTTATTTCAGAGTTTCTGCATTTCAAATCTTGAAATGCAAGATCTGATTTTAGCCTCTTTAGCAACCTATGAGGTTAGCGTACAGGCCAGTATATGAAGATAAGAATTGCCATAGCAGCAGCAAAAAAGGAAAACCATCACTGCACTCTGCAACTGATACTGAATTGGGACTGTAGAAATTAATTCAGACATTTAAGTGGCTGCTTGTGCCCAAGAAGCTAAGGCTGAGACGTCTGTGGTGATCTGCAAGACAGCTATAAACATTATAGCTAATTCAAGTCAGTAGCATCATATGTACCATAATCTTTCCATTTATTAACCAGAATAATATATCTATTCACTTATTTACATGTTTTTATATCATTGTCTGCGTTTTTATATGTGGATATGTCTCTTTTTGTGGTACCAATGAGTATGGAGTTCCTCTGAAATAGATGCCCTTGCTAAGCCTACTTTTTTCTGTACTCTGTTAACAGTTGCAATTTTTGTAGTGGAAAAGGTAATCCTTGCCTAGAAAATATTAACAGAAGTTTGTCCTATACAGAACAGCAAGAAGAATTTTATACTTTAATTTTAAACCCTTGGAATGTTTTTGCTAATGAATAATTCTGGCACAAAGAAGGAAAGAGTTTTACAGATGAACAAAATGTCTTTATGATTTTAGAAACTACTTGAATACAAACTAGTCTCTGAAGAGTAGACTTATTTCCCACAAGTTTGTACAGCATGGTATCCTATTAAATGATCCGTATTAATTGCTGTTCTCTGCCTTACCTTGTGTGCTATGTATTTTAAATTAGATAGATTATGGTTATTTGTATAGCAGGAGACACTATTTGTAAATTTATGTTTTTTTTTACTGGAATGGACATCATACTTTTTTAAGGTTGTTTTAGAATATATATACAGTAGTGCACAGAAGTCACTGATACGACTTCTGGATTGAGGCATTAACTCTATCAACTGCAGTGGGAAAGAAAAAGCATAGGAGATTTGGGGGTTTCTTTCCCTTTGCAGATTTTCTCACTCAAATACCCGGGCAGTAATTCTTTCTACACATGACTAAGAAACACACTGGAACAGCAAAACTGTCATTTGAGTTCAATTAATCTACTTTCCTGTCTCTGTCCTGGATGGATCTGTACTCTTAAAAACTTCATGTTGAGAGTTGCAGCATTCCTTTAAAGTGCTAGAAGTGTGTATGTAGCAAATAAATCTCATCTAGAACTTAAAACTATTGACTACTAGGAAACATGAGAATATTATTGTCTAAGGATCATGATGATAATAATGAAAATGTATATAATAACAACTTACAGTACTGTTATTACCAACAAAAGCATCAATATGAAAATGATCAAATCAAGAGGAGATGCTCTCCAGTTAAAATATATATATGTGTGTCTATATGCTCATATATATCTATATATCTATATGTATAGACATATCTTTATATATCTGTGTGTCTATTCAAAAACCATATATTATACCCAGTCATCTATTCAGGACTATGTCCCATAAAACCTGGAACTTTGCAATTGTTTGTTTGTGTGCAAAATGGGTAGATCTGCCACAATTAAGTCATGTTCCTGCAAGGACTTAGAAAGACCTGGAAGAGTCCTTTACACAACATGTAAAACATAACATGTAAAAGTTAAGGATGTCCATAAATTGTCTGTAGTAAAAAGGTTTTATGGGCCAACATTTTCATTATGTTGTTATAAAAGCAAGAGAGGTATCTTTGTTTATTTTTGTTTCATAGTGTTACTTCTAAAACAGCAAGTGAAAAACTAGTTGAAAGAGCAGTCACTTTTCAATGCAGAATTACTGACACTGTCTATTTAAGGATGTCTACATAAGCAAAATCATCTTGGGAAATGGTACCTGAATTTAACCTTTTAGTAAAATGTGGCGCTTGTAACAAATAGGATGATGTGACTGTATTATCTTGTTTATGGAGTCATTCCTTATATATTTTTACAAGTGAAATATCCACACGGAGAAACATTTCAAATGCATAGAATTCTCTATAGGCTGTACATTGGTGCACTTCAGAAAAAAAAAAAAGAAAAGAAAGAAAAATAATTGCTAAGATTATTTCACCTTGTGAAATTTTGGAAAAACTGATGAGTTATTTTGCTATTTCTTATATTAATAGAAAGCAAGAAAGTTTCTGATGTTGATATTTATACATTCATTTTTGTGAGCAAGCTGCTTGAATTAAAATACCATTTTTGTTCACTTGCTTTTTTGAAATCTTTCAAAAGCAAGTCATTTAGTTGTCTTTACCTGATTGAAATATGCTTAACATGAGTTTGCAGGCTACTTGATGATAAGGAATGCAAACCCATAGATGTGTGCTAATTGCTGTTCATATTTTTATCCACATTTAGGTGTGTATTACATTGACTTTATGCAGCAAATTTATCTGTAGTGTAAATTCTCTAGAGATGATGAATGGCAGACCAATTTGGATGATAGCATTCCAGTCACCTACAAGCAGGAGGTGGAATGGATTGTGAGAAAGAACCCCAGTCCTTGACTGAGCTCCAATATATTGCATATGCCAAGATAAAAATCTCTGAAAACAAGACGGCAAAACCAGAGATGTTTGTACCTATCCTGGTTCTTTACCTCATTCCTTAATGCCGAGAGATTTTTCCTAATTGTTTAGCATTAATGATGTTAATGATACTCAGTCGAGTTATTTTGATAAAGAATCTATACAAAATCATACTTCTTTTAATGCAAATAACTATGGCAGACATTTAATGCAAATAACTATGGCAGACAACTTAGTATGTTACAAAGTCTTTATCAGAAATTATGGGGCTTATTATATATAGAAATAATTATTGGAGGGGGAAGAATTCATCCTTGTCCATCCAGGTGGGATTCAACATAAAAGAATCAGTGGAAGTAAAGCTTCAGTAGCTGACTACTCTTACTTGTGCTGCCTGTAGACCTGCAACCTATTGTACTCATCACTGAATATCTGTGGTGTATTTTAGTATGTCATGACAAGCAAGAATAAATATCAAACACCCCAGAATGGGCTTGATGAGCTAATGGTTTCATTGCATTCAAAGCTTATTTTGCACTAAGATCTGCATCATTTATTGATGCAGAACAGATATTTAGTCTCCATGCCCAGTGTGTTTGGATTTATCTTTTTTTTGAGCTACACATGGCTTTTACAGCGTTATTCTATACTGACTCATCCTGAAACTAGCTCACTGCCTTCTGGGGCCTGTGTAGCACTGTACTGTATCCCTATTACAATTTCAGCCAAAAATGGGTTTTGTGAAAGACCTTAGCCTTTATATAGTCTCACTGAATTACCTCATCCAGCTAGGGCTTCTGAGGGTAAGTACAATTAGGCTTTTGAGCAGAGAGGATGTGCTGTAGCAGATGGTCTGTAGTGATGGTTCACCTCAAGCTGAGTCACCCACGATCTTACTTGCAAGTAGGCTTAGACTGAGTGCAACAAATAGATGAATTTGCATACATAGCTTCGCAGAAAACAGACTAATATACTTATGTGCCCTAGTACACTAATGACTGAAACCAGATATGCTAGATTATATTTTAGATCTTACACTGGTCACTGTTAATGGAAATTCTGCTGGAAACCGTAGTATTGCTTTAGTCTTGACTGTTTAAGTGTGTAAGCAATGCTGTGGTGCAAACCATTATTGTTTGAGTAAGAGCTTCCTGTCTTCGAAAATGGAATAATCTTTTTATTATGAAAAATACAGTTTGCTTTTGGTCATTCACATTATAATCTTGAATGTGAAAATCACATCGGAGTTTGTGCTTTAAAAATTCCATAGCTCTAGAAGTGTGTCCTCTAGCAGAGTCTGAACTATCTCTGAACTGAATTTACTATATGTCAGGTGAACTGAAAGTTTCTTGAAGGAGGGATTGAGTCAGTTTTCTCAGTAGCTTTAAGCATAATTACACGTCTGGGCTTCTAAAGCTCGGCTTGACATGTAGTTTCCCATGTAGATCTTGGGAAATTTGACTTTGTTTTAATTTTCCCTGTTTATGGATCTGAGTCACTTTCTATGGCTGCTGCAGATGACCACAGTCATGGACACTAAATTTTCGGAAGGCACAAGTTTAAAACAGTGGTCAATGGCTGACTAGACTACAGTAATGCAGTACTTCCTGCGTGCTTGCCATGTAGTCACAGCAATGTTATTCATCAGCTATGTATTATTGTGGCTTCAGTTTGAAACTTTAAAGGCTCCAAGGAAAAAAATAGGCAGAAGAGTTTGCTCTTTCTATGTGATTACGTGTTTTGATGAACAAAAGAAGGGCTTGCTGTTGTCTCCATGGTTTTAAAATGCTTTGGAGGAATGAAGAAGATAGTTTATATAGACATCTTGCCAGTCAATTGCATGAAGGTTGTCACAGGCATTCTTTACTAACACTGATTAACACATTAGGAATAAAAAGATAGCAATTTGCCTCGAACATGGTTCAGCATTAGGCCTGGAAATGGATTAAAAAAAACTTGCTTGAAATGATGAATGTAGGGAGTCTGACATATGAATCATAGGGATTAGAAGGAGCTCTAAAATATCATTTTTATTTTTACTAAGGAGAGACAGCAAGTAAATGCCAAAGTTTTGCTGTTCACTTTCAAGCATAAAGAAGCATTCAGGGTTTACAGATAAAGGACTGCAATAGCCAAGGGTTTGCTTTGGGGGTCTTTGTGGGGTGGGCAA